CTTCACTCTATTCCCCATGTACACAAATCTTTCAATCCGATTTATGGTCTGGGTTGTAAGGAATCCCTGCACCGTATGAGAAACATGAACAGTAGAACCAGAGTCAATCCACCAAGTATTATAAGGAACTTCAGTTAAATTTGATTCGAGGCACGTAAAAGCACAAGGCTTACCTTTCTTCTCGAACCATGCCTTACGTTTCAGGCAATCTTTCTGAAAGTGTCCAGGTTTTCCACAGAAACGACACTTATCATTCTTGTGTTCCTTCTTACGTACTTGAGAAGAGGACTCATTGACATTATGTTGCCTCTGCTTAACTTTTCCATGTTTCTTTTCTTTCTTTCCAGCTCCTTGATGGCCTACAAGATTAATGGAGTGGGTTCCTTGATTCTTCAGCCTTGTTTCCTCTTGAACCAGCATACCGTGCAGTTCATGCACGTTCCATTTGTCTTTCATGGTGTTGTAGTTCATTTGGAAAGGGCCATACTCAGATGGTAATGAGTTAATAATGAATTGAACAAGGAAATTCTCATCCACTTCCATTCACAAAGTCTTAAGTCTTGCTGCTATATTTGTCATTTCAATGACATGCTCATGCATTGTCACGACCCAAACCCCGGTCGTGATGGCGCCCAACACAATGCTAGGCAAGCCCGACCATTTACACTTAGCCAATTAATCTCAATAGATAAATAAATATTCACTACTAAAGTACCAATTTAATGCGGAATTTCTGATATAATCTCTAACATTCGAGAACCCCAGAATTTAATACTAAAAATACTAATCAGCCCACAGAATCTGGTGTCACAAACATGAGCCTCTAATACAGAATATTCACCTACCACAAGTCCGTCTAGCGAAAATGCGAATTAAAAGGGTAAAATAGATGAGAGAGATCAGGGCTGCGAACGTCATGCAGCTACCTCGATACTCCCGGATAAANTTACAGACACAGAGAAAATGTTCAGTTGGCATACAAAGCATACAAGAGGGTGGTGATTATGCGTCTTGCCAATTGGCATAAAGCTTCCATACAATATGCCTACTCCATAATTAGTCTGCAGCTTCTCTGTTATCATTTTTCTCATAAACTTTAGATTATTTGCTGACTGCATAAAGGTTGTCACGTTTTGAACTGCATTTCTTACTCATAGACCTCTTCTAACTTTGTGTTCTGCTTCAAACGCTAGATGAGAAGATGGTTAATGTTGATTGCCAAAAATTGTCCCACATCTGTGGAGGACCAAATTGGTTGGGAATATTTCCCTATAAAAGGAGGCCTAATGTTTAGGATTTAAACACACCTCTCATTTGCCTTCTTATCTTCTTAAAGCATTTGTATCTTCTCTCTTTAGTATTATTTCACTTGTATTTTTGGAGTGGAATAAAATATTGGTTGTGTCCGAGGAAGTAGGCAAAATTGACCGAACCTCGTAAATTTTGGTGTTCCTTTTATTGTTGCTTTATTGTCTTATTTATTATTTGGTGGCTGTCATAATTTTTGGTATAGTAGTTGTGACTCATTCACACTATATACATTTGGCTTCCGCAACAATTGGTATCAGAGCCAAGGTACTGTCTAAGTATGTTCTGTGGTTGCAGCTTAGTCTGATCTTCCACACCAGAAAGGAAATAATCTTGATTTGTGTCGTCAGCTATTAAATAATATTTGTGTCAAAGATGGGAGACAATAAACAAGAAGAATCTACATCAAGTGTCAACAATACGTCATCATTGGCATCTTCGCTTATGACAAGAATTGTGTCAAATGCGAAATTTGCGGTAGAAATTTTTGACGGGTCAGGACATTTTGGGATGTGGCAAGGCGAGGTTCTAGATGTCCTTTTTCAACAAGAGCTAGATCTTGCCATTGAAGAAAAAAGACCAGATGTTATTGGAGAAGAAGATTGGAGAATTATCAACTATGTTGCTTGCGGTACCGTTCGATCCTACCTTGCTAGAGAGCAGAAATATCCATACACAAAGGAAACTTCTACAAGTAAATTATGGAAAACACTAGAGGATAAATTTTTGAAGAAAAACAGTCAAAATAAATTGTACATGAAGAAGAGACTGTTTCGCTTCACCTATGTTCCTGGTACCACCATGAATGAACATTCATCTTTGCTAGGTCTAGATCTTGACTTGGATCTTCCTTTCTTTGTCCTCGTTTGATTTTGAGGACGACCCCTCACAACCAGTGCTTCTCCTTCTCCGCCCTTCTGTTTTTCTCCCTTGTTTTGTTCATAGCTGTACAAAGCCGACTTACTTGGTTTGGTTTCTTTTTAGGGAAAACCGATCCAATCTGAACCATGAACACCCCTAAATATAGGGTACGACTGCAAATTGTCCAAAAATTTGACGCACTCCTTTCACGAAAAAAATATACTCCCTCCGTCCCAAGTTATGTGATACCTTTTGGATTTCGATATTCAAATTTTTCTATATATCTTTTAAATATTTTAAATTGTCAATTATTGTAACTTATAGTATTTTTTTTTACATAGCTTCCAGATACAGAAAATGTCACGACCCAAACCCCGGTCGTGATGGCGCCCAACACAATGCTAGGCAAGCCCGGCCATTTACACAACCTTAGCCAATTAATCTCAATAGATAAATTAATATTCACTACTAAAGTACCAATTTAATGCGGAATTTCTGATATAATCTCTAACATTCGAAAATCCCAAAATTAAATACTAAAAATACTAATCAGCCCACAGAATCAGGTGTCACGAACATGAGCCTCTAATACAGAATATTCACCTACCACAAGTCCGTCTAGGGAAAATGCGAATTAAAAGGATAAATAGATGAGAGAGATCAGGGCTGCGAACGCCATGCAACTACCTCGATACTCCCGGATAAATGCTGCTCAGCTAAACAAGTCCTCACTCACCCTGTGGTGTACCTGGATCTACACACAAGGTGCAGGGAGTATTGTGAATACTTCCAACCCAGAAAGTAATAAATATAAATAAGGGCTGAGAGTAAGAAATCCTGGACAGGCACAAGATAAAGCTATAATTACAGCAGTCCAACCCAAATAATATCAGCTCAATAAACCAATGAAAACAATTATAGAAGTATCACAGCAGATAAATACGTAAATGACAATCAAGTATGCAATGCAACACATAAACCGGTACATCTCCAGAACCCGCTGCGGCGTGCAGCCCGCTCCACTTATTTAACGTCGGCGACGCTCACTGGGGGTGTGCAGACTCCGGGAGGGGACCCTTACGGCCCAAGCGCAATAATAAGCCATCTCGTGGCATCAAACAGGCCCTTGGCCTCATATCAATATCATTATTAAACCACTGCGGCGTGCAGCCCGATCCCATACTCAGTCCAAAAATCACATAATAGTATAAAAAATATTCAGTCCAAACTTCATTTAAAAATATTACTTACTTTCTAATTTAAGAAAATGGCTGAGTTTCCAAACACAGTATTAAATACCAGGACTGAGTTTAATATTTATAAATATGGTAAGAAACCATTAAAACAATCCCTGAAGGATTCAAGTAGTTGGCACAAGGCTCAATGATAACAATTTAATCCATTTTTATAAGAATATCACAAAACTACAATCAACTAGGTAGTAATTTTATTAACGGGACAGACCAAGTCACAATCCCCGACGGTGCTCTACCCCACGCCCGTTATCCGGCGTGCAAGTCACCTCACATAGCACTACGTTGTGCAAATTCGGGGTTTCAAACCCTCAACACAGCATTTACATTTATTACTAACCTCAAGCCGGCCAAAGTCCTAGCTTGCTATGCTCTTGCCTTTCGAATTCACCTCCTCGTGCGTTGATTCTGACCAAAACCACAACGAATACGTCACAATATGCTAAGAAAATATAACCCAATCGAAAAGACTCGAAAAACATAGAAAATCACGAAGTTGGCAAAACCCGAGCCCCGGGCCCACTTCTCGAAAAATCAGAAAATTAACATCACCGGATTCCTTATCTCGCCACGAGTCTATACATATAAAGAACACCAAAATCGGAGTCCAAATGACCCCTCAAATTCCCATTTTTGTTCTCTTAGGTTTCAAGCCCTAAACCACCATTTTTGACCTTAATTCCTTGATTTTCCAGTCTAAATTCATGTAATTGCACAATAAAATCGTGTTTTAGGCTTAGAAATTCTTACCTGATCGAAGTCCTTGAATTCCTCTTCAAAATCGTCCAAAAACTCTCCAAGTCCGAAGTGAAAATATGAAACCCTGTCAAAAATTCGCGAAGGGAAATAAAACCATATCTGACCAGTTATTTCCGTTTCTGTGGTATCTTTGCCACTTCTGCGACTACCGCATTTGCGGAAATTTTCCGCTTCTGCTGAATTTTCATCTCCAGTCCAAAATCACTTCTGCGATTGCACATCCGCTTCTGCGGGATCGCTTGTGCGAAAAGGGTTCCGCTTCTGCGGAACTACCCTACTAAGCCATGAACCGCTTTTGCGACCCTCCATACGCTTCAGCGGAACCGCTTCTGCGGTCCATTTCCGCAGAAGCGAGAATATAAGGTACCAGCTAAAACCTGCAATTCCTCAACTCCAATTTCATCCCGTTAGCCATCCGAAATCACCCCGAGGCCCCCGGGACCTCAACCAAACACACAAACATGATCCAATACCTCATTCAAACTTGCTCCAATCATCAAAACACCTCAAACTACACTAAAACCATCATTTCTCATCGAATTCAAGCCTAAGTTCTTCCAAAGCTTCCGAAACACGCTTTCGATCAAAACCCAACAAAAACACCTCCGAATGACCTGAAATTTTGCACACAAATCCCAAATCACCTAACGAAGCTACTGTAGCTCCCGGAATTCCATTCCGACCCTCGGATGAAAATCTCACCTATCGACCGGAATTCGCCAAAATCCTAACTTTGCCAATTCAAGCCTAATTCTACACTGGACCTCCAAAATCACTTTTGATCACACTCCTAAGTCACAAATCATCCCCCGAAGCTAACCAAATCATCGGAATTCAAATCCGAGCCCTCTAACACAAAAGTCAACGTCCGGTTGAGCTTTCCAACTTAAGCCTTCTTAAAAGAGACTAAGTGTCTCATTTCTTATCAAACCCAATCCAATTCAACTCTAACACCCCAAATGCCGATAATGAAACATGAAGAAGCATATAAACGGGGAAACGGGGCGGTAATTCCTGAGATGACGGGTCGGGTCATCAAATCCTCTCCAACTTAAACAAACGCTGAATAACTTTACCGTGCATATAACCGGGGTGATCCCACGTCACCCTATCTCGCATAGGTCCGATAACACAACATAGCTGAAATTTCACAATCCATCTAGTCCATAAACATAGAACCACATTGCCCTTTTTTCGAAATCATACATAAGATCAGAACCTCACATCTATACTCAGAATAAGCCTAAACCAGCTATAATCGACCATGCTTGCAACCTCGGGTGCAATCATATGATATACTACATAACCCCAACACATGTAGTGATAACTTCGATTCACAACAGCTGCCCATAACAACCAAAT